GGGGGGGGCATGCTCGGGGGGCATTTGGAGGGTGGTGCATTTGGGAATGGGGGGGTCGGGGGGGTGTTCGGTGTGAAGCCATGACTGTCATGTTTGCTGTCATCTGACTGTAAAGTTTCAAATACGTTTTGCAACTTGCAAAAAAGTCCAATTTTATTTGCTTCAAATTTTGTGGGAACTTCACTTGACTTTCTTGAATTTTGGCGAGGAGACAAATCAAGTTGGAGTACCCACTAAATTTTTCGCGCCTCAAGCCGAGTCCCCCATTCAACTGGAAGCGAGTCGAGTCTGCACTCAATTTCAAGAAACCCGAATAGAATTCTCACTCAATTTGAAGCAAATCGAGTCATGTTGCCACCAAATTTGAGTAGAGCTGCCACAAATTTTTTGTTTGCTCACTTGTGAAGTTAACATAGCTGTCCCTGTTGGTTTTATTGTGACGGACCCTCCGTGACACTTGCTTCATGCTTCACTCGGAATCATCGCACACGAGGGTGTCAAAACCAAAAATTGCCCTGGAGAGCAAAGGTTTTCCCAGTGCTGCTCTCCAAACATCGTAAGGTGTTGACAAGGATATGAGTGCACCAAAATCCTGATGGCGACGGTCCGCACGGGATGGAAGGGACTGAAGAAGTAGAGCGCGGATGTGGCGTTGAAGCGGAAGATGGCTTTGCCTTTGTTCAGAACTATGAAGGTCTGTCGACAAAAAACGATGACAACAATTAAAGGCATTTTTATACATCAAAAGTATTTTGTTCACGACGATAATAGGTTCGCTTCCTGCAGCTGCTTTTAAGGGATTATAGGGTGGCTTAACAGTAACTCATGGGGCTAATTAAAATCTATATAGGAGTGTGTTTATTCATGTTGTTTCATGCTGTGGTGAACAGATCGAGTCCTTTTTTTTTTAAGCGTCCAGGGGAGCAGTGTGGCAGATTTTTGTAGGGAATGAGGTCCAGAGATAGGGGCTGTTACTGTTAGAATTAATTCAACACAATATCTATAAAATTAAAGATTGCAGCCTTCCATTTTTCAATACATAGCTCTCAGAGAAAAAAAAAAAAAAGTTAGTACGCTCCCGGCGTAGAAGATAAATGATCATTTTTCCCGCAGTCTCGCAGAGAGTCTGCATGTGTTTTTTTTTTTCCCTTTTTGGCTTCACTCTGCTAAACTGGCAGAGCAAACGCAAAGCCAAACACAAACATGTGATGTTGCAAACGGCGCAGAGCCGAGAGAAGGGGGAGGCCGGCGAGGAAAGTCCCTCAAGAGGAGGCGATGCGATGTGAGGCTGGCAAGCGATGTGTCGCCGTCACCCTCCCCGTCCCTCGCCAGGCTCACATCGCGCCGGCGCCGCGTTCCCACTCTTCCACTTTTTGCCTCCCGCGGCGGCGCTCGGGCAAGTCGAGCCACTTTTGCATGACGGGGAAATACAGTGGAACACGCTCCCCCCTCCTTACCAACATTCACTTTAACAATATTCCAACAAACCCGTCTGTGTTCGTTTAAAAAAAAAAAAACATCCTCATCGAACATTAGCATATCAATAGCGTTTCTCACTCTATGTTAGCATGAAGCTGCTATTTGGTTGTTTGAAATACACAACATATAAATCTCTATTTTCTAGGAGTGGCCTGAAACGGTTTTCTTGAAAAACTATGAAGTCGGGGTCACTCGTATCTTAAGGAAGCATGTTTTGCATACCCTCTGGTCTCTGAAGTAGTACGGGTCGATGTCCTCCAGGGGCACTCCCACCAGGTGAGAGGGGATGTCGGCGTAGATGCGCGGCAGCTGTTTTCCCGCCTCCAGGTCGGCCCGGGGCCGAGGGACCTCCACGTCGCCAAGGTCCTGCCGCACACGAATTTGAAGAAATAGTTCCTCTATGTCGGCGGCCATGTTGTTCATGGAAGCAGTGCACATCAGCTCATGATAATGGGTACCGGTAAATACTTCACATTAATGGGTAAAGGTAAATTCATTCGAGAAATATCGGTCATGAATATTTAGGTAGGAAAAATGGATCATTGGAAAAATGTCGCCACTGTCAAAAGGAGCCCCGGATGATTTGAGACCCGCCCCGGTTTAGAGTGCCGGCTACCTCCTGGTAGTGTTTGTTGCGTCGGGCCTCCTCCTTGGCGATGCGCTGCTCGATGGCCGCCAGGGAGTCCGGCGTGAAGCGCTGAAAGCTCTCTGGTCCCATTGGAAACACACAGCCAGCCATCTTGTCATCCTGATCCTGATGCTGACTGGCCCAAGCTACCAGCTGGACAGAAACACAACATCGAGTCCCCATGAGAAAATAAATAAATAAATAAAACAATAATAATAATAGTAATAATAATTTTTAAAAAAGCAAAATAAAATAAACCCATGCTATATCATCATTTACTGATTTTTAGATGATATTTTTAAAAGGGTTTTTACAATATACAATAATTGAATTGAAAGAATTTACTGGGAAAAAAAAATGTTTGTTTGAGCTACCGATCACAATGGGTACAGCCTCTGGCTCTAATCCGAGCCAGGAAAAACCCTGATTAGTCTAAACGCAAGAAAGTGAAGTGCTTGTGAGGGATCCTGGGGAAAGTCTGAGAGCAATTAGAGCGCTCGTGCTTGTGAGACGAGGAGCGTTTGATTGGAGGATCTCTGAGCGTCGTGATTGAGCGTGATGAAGACGCGGCTGGCGCTGAAGACGCGGCTCGGGTCGACCCTAGAACTCCACGCAATCAAGCGGACTGGACGCAATCAGCCCCCGCCTCGGGCCTGGCCAAACCTCAAAGGCACACAACCAACAAGCTTACTGTCATAGTTCTTCTTTCATCGCCGGTGCGGTTTTGCCGCTTTTTTGCGCTGTTACCTTAGTTACCTTGGTGGGAGGAGCTTTCTATGAACACATGCTGACAAGTGCAATCAGTTCACCTGAATGTTGTCGTTTTTTATTTATTTTATTTTTTGGGGGCATTTCCTTCCATCTTGACGAATGTAAATACTCCTGAAAACGATTTCTTTAGCCTTGGGGTTCCTGTCTTACTTCCTGCCTGCCTCACTTCAACGGACTCTCGAGGACTATGAGAAAGTAGAACGAGGATGACAGAACACCATGGAAAGAACACCGATCACGAGATTTGTAATATAAACACTGAAACAATGACTATGAGAAGGAACAACAGTGAATGGAACGGCAAAATATATATATATTAGTGTTCGTTTGTGTTTGTGTGTGCGTGTGTGTGTGTGTGTGTGCGTGTGTGTGTGTGTGTATGCGTGGACCATCTGCATGGCGTCTTAATTGAATGATCAGGCAGGAGTCATTTTTCAAGCCTCCGTGCATTTATTCTTCACAGCTCCCAAATCAGATTTCTGAAAAGCGTGGATGTGATTTTGTGTGCGTGTGCGTGTGTGACCGACGTGTGGATGACAGCTTTTGATAAGTATGGAAACAGAGCTAGATTTTCCTTTGATGTGGTCACGTAGGCGCTTGCTGCTGTTGCGTGCGTGTCAATCATGTGACATGAAATATGACACGCTAACAGTTAGCGAGCTAGCTCCACGGAAAAAAAAAAAATCAAGTTGGTGTGGCGAGACAAGAGTGTGTGTAAATGTCAACATGGGACAGGAAAGGGCATTGTCAATGGCGTCATTTGCAGCTAATCTGCGATGCAATTAGCATGTTAGCTAGGCAACATAAATTTTTGAGCATATCTTTTGAAAGTTTTTTTTACAGCATACAAACAACCCTGAATTCGAAGTTGTGAACTTTTAGTGCAGTACCACGTTGTGCCACGACATGCCAGGGCACCACTGATGATTACCGGTCGATATACGAACGGCGGGCGGCTGTCAGCGAGCGTGATGACGACGAGGATGAAGGCGTCCCTCGCTAGCTCAGTTCAATTAGCTTGAAAGGAGGAAACATGCATTGTCGCCGCCATTCAAAGATGGCGGGGCAGCGAGCCAAGCCAGCTGGAAGGCACCAACCAGGAAAGTTTGGCTCTGGGACAGCAAGGGACTTAGGACGGAACCCTGACTGACATGACATGATGACAATGTTCAAAACCTGGCCAGCCCCGACAGATGCCGGTCGTAGAATTAGTCACCGGGACTCCGTACATAGCAAATCAAATCTGAAGCATCTCCAGAAACGTCCACTTACTGGCCCGTGCTCCTCAGGAGTGTCAACTGCTCCAAATGATGTCTCTTAGTAAGAAAATCAATAATCTACACCGTATGCTACGATGCTGAGTGCAGAGGCCATAAAGCAAAGTACCAAGAGGGGAATTCCCAAGATTATTACATTTGATTCAAGGCAGGGATCCAAACCAACATTTTTTTATTTTTTAAACTCGGGAGTATAGTGGCACCTAGCTGAATATTAAGCAGGCAACTGGGCTGAAGTGGGGAGCAGAAGCAAAACATATACTAAATTTCCTGGTCGCACATGCCGTGTGTGTGACCGATTTAGTCGCAGTCTAGAGCCCCCGATTCAAGGATGCGGCTTTGGAAAAAAATCAGGAGACACAACAGCGGCAGCGTCAACAACAACACCCACCAAGCCCGGGTGAGCAACGTTAGCATCACAGTTTAGCATACTACAAGCAGGTTCAACATGATCTAAGCTCCGACTGTCTTGTTTGTTTAAAATCATGTATGCTTGGCTTTGAAGTGTACATTTAAAAATGTATCCCATGTTTTAAACTTACAAAATGTCTTTGAGTACTGTACGATGAAAAGCGCTTTCAAAATAATTGTATTATTATTATTAATGGAGAAGACAAGAAAGTAATCAATAATACAGAGACCGATTTGGGACCACTACAATGTCGAACTGGCTTAACCCAAGTCCTGACTTGACACGACTTTAGCGGCAACTTGACGTATTATTTTTACTTTGACCACATTCACCCTCACATGCACCCCTGTAACCTGATAGCATGATAATCTGTCCACTAAAGTAACCGCCGTCCCTGAAAGGGTTAACTGGGGGACTTTTTGAAATTGAAACTTTCTTAAGACTTGCACATATGCGACTAACTTCTGACACGCTCGAGTACAGCTTTTAAAACTACAAGCACGTCATTCGCAATGAGATCCATGGTACATTGTTCTCATTACTCTATAACCTTGACAAAAAAAAATAATAATAATAATAATAATAATTGAAGCCATCAAAAGGTGATGTGTAAATTTAAAAAAACAAAAACCAAAGTGATTTCATTACAGCTGGACTCGTGTGCTTGAGCCCTCATGATGACCAAGTGGACTCGGTAAGAGTCCAGGAGACGATGATGATGTGTGATGAGGAGGAAGCTGACAGGAAGGTGATGAGGAAGACTCAAACTCACGACACTCAAGACACACACACACACACACACACACACACACACACACACACACACACACACACACACACACGCACATCATGTACTCTTATCATTTCCATATTAGCTATCAAGCGTCTCACTAAGTGTCCCATTGCCAAGAATTGGCGGCGCGCACGAAGGCGCGCGCGCGCACGATGGGCGACGGCGTCGGGAGCGCGCCGAGTTCATATGGTGGTCAAGGTCGCGTCGGAGATAAAATGTTTTATGGGCGTCGTCAAACGGCCATCAGACAGTAACGAAAGCCTCGAGCCTCCAACGGCAAGCCATCAAGCTTGAAACAACATTTCAACGGCAAATTAAAGTGAAATACGCCGCGCCGCCGCGACACGGCCGCAGTGCCGCCGCGACACCAACGCGTCCTCGCAAAGTCAAAAAACATATGCAGACACAAAACTAATACTTTATGCTCATTCTGATATATGCCTACTTGTTAAAGGTTTAGAGATGCCAAAAAAGTGCGAAAGTACATTTTTTTGAATCGATCATTTTTATCCAGGCAAGCCCAAATTTAGAGTTAAATCGGTGTAATACCATGTTGCGCCACAACATGCCAGGGCAGTACTGAGCTCTACTATATCGATTTATCTGCTATTACTGTGTGCTCTCTGTATGTGTTTGCTTCTCAACGTGTGTTCAACTTGTCTGAAAGTTTAGATGGACGCTAATTTCCGCATTATAAATTAGCATGAGGCTAGCACACTTTTGTCTGATGAAATGATATGGTTCAAGATTTTGGTGTTTTAAGATACAGTTTGATTCCATTTGTAAACAGGAACATGAAAGAGTGAGACCATGCACTAATGAATACATTAATAAGTGTCAAATAAGTTTAATTGTGCTTAAAAAGTGTCGCAAGGTTAACAATTTAAAAAAATGTTTTTTATATGATCTCGTTATTTTGCTCATTATTTCTCGCATCCTTCCTAATAAACGCGGGTCACGGCCGCACTGTGAAAGACTTACTCGCCCACAAAAATGAATTCAACGCAAGATGACACTTTGTAACCAGTTTGCCCGCATGTCTCCCGGCTTGTTAGCCCGCTAGCTCGCTTTTGTTAGCAGGCTAGCTGGCGTTGAACGCAGTCGCTCGCGTGAGTCACGGCGATTTTATTCGTCTTGACTTTGTCGCTGCATCTTTTAGCGCCTTTGGCATCAGAGTGCGAAGATGAATAATCAATTGGTTTTAAAACATATAAATCAAAGCAAGGTGAGTCAGCAAGACTTGACAGCTAGCAAACGCGCAATATTTTTCCCCGGTAAAAGTGGACACATGTTACACTGACGGTATGGATCGCGCCTTCGTGTTGACATCAAATCTTCCAAATGGATATGAAGACAAGACGTATATCTCGTAGAATGTAGCACGTACGAAACGTTTATGATACGGTGAAGCCTCAATTATCATGTAAGTTAAAATTTAGAGGAACCCTAAAAATAAAAACTGGTAATAGATAGGTAGCATGTGTTCTTAAAAAAAATAAAAATAAATAAAAAAATTATAAGACAGTAAAGAGTGGAAACAAGTGTGTGTGTGTGTGTGTGTGTGTGTCCGATATCAGGTGATGAAGACGAGGTGACACACAGAGTCATCTTTCAGCTGGAGTTACATTGATGACATCACAACGCACAATCTGGGCCAGATCGACCCACACACACACACACACACACACACACACACACACACACACACACACACACACACACACACGCATTTATTATTGACACACACTCAGGTAGCAGCAAGGTGTTGAGTGAGTTTTCAGTGTGTTTGTCCCACTGACAAATGATTGTCAGTCCGTCATTCAAACATTCCCTTCCTGTGTGTTCGTTGTGATGCTAGCACGTCAACATTAGCGCACGCATGCACGCACGCACGCACGCA